GGTAATGTAGGCATACCGCACTTGCAAATGAAGCCCGAGATTTGAATTTCCCGGGCTTCATTTGCATAAGCCGTGGAATGAGGAGTACAGCTAGTTCGGATTAGGAAGCCTAATCCGAACTAGCTACTCCGTGCCGCGTGTAGCCGCGCTGCATGGGGTTCGAACGAGCGGGGATTTAAAAATGGCGGTGCCCCGCTTATGCAAATGAAGCCCGGGAAATTCAAATCCGGGCTTCATTTGCAAGTGCGGTATGCCTACATTACCCCGCTAGTTCGAACTAGGAGGGTAGTGTAGACATACCCATAGAGTGAGTATTTCTCTGTTAGTATTTCTCCGCAAATATGCTCGAGCTGACATTGTCAGCAAACAACATATAAAATACAACCTCAGTCATGCAGAATGCAATGCTATACACAGCCTCAAAAACAATTCTAATGTCATAATCAAAGAGGTTGACAAAGGGGGTGCTTTAGTCATCATGAGCAGAACAGATTATGAACAGAAGGTGACCAGACAACTCACCAATACCAGATTCTACAAGCCTCTCTCCTGTGATCCCAGTAAAGAATACCAAAAAAAACCCCAAACCAACCAACCAAACCCCCCTCCCCCCAAAAACCAAACCCTGAAACAACTACTCAAGAAGCTCTATGATGCTGCTCAGGACCAAATTTACACTAACATTCCCTCTAATCCCCTACCAGGAGTTTTCTATCTGCTACCCAAGATACACAAACCTGGAAATCTCAGACGACCCATCATCTCAAGCACTGGCACACTTACAACAAGATTATCTGGCTATATTTACTCTCTCCTGAGACCCTATGTTACCAGCACTCCTAGCTACCTTTGTGATACCACTGACTCCCTGAGGAAACTACAAAACACCAGTAATCTACCTGAAAACACCGTTCTGGCCACCATGGACGTAGAAGCTCTTTACACCAACATTCCACATGAAGATGGATTACAGGCTGTCAGGAACACCATCTCCGATGACAGCACTGCACACGTGATTACAGAGCTCTACTTTGTCCTCACCCACAACTACTTCTGAATCAGAGACAATTTGTATCTTCAAGTCAGAGGCATACTCACGGGCACCTGCATGGTACCATAACATGCCAATATCTTTATGGCTGACTGTGACTGTCCCCTGTGTGTGAGCACCCCACCCGGGTCAGGGACGGGGGCCCTGTGAGCCCAACTGCCCACTGTCTCTTGTCTCCTCCCGGGTTTTGCCTTTTCCACTCCTCACGGGGCTGGGGGTGAAGAGGGACCTGGGCCCTCCCTCTCTACTGGGTCCCAACCCGGGGCCCTAAGTGCAAGGTCAACACTTCCCTGCACAGCTGACGGGGTGCATTCCTAAAACACGTCAGCCCATGGGCGCCACAAGGACCCTGCCCCGGGCTTCTTCCTTCCCCCCACTGTGCCCTGGCTGGTGGCCTCCAGCTCCCCAGTGCCTACTGTGGTTCTGTAGCCTGCTCATTTTCGACACCTCATTAATATGTATAATCAATCATTAATATGTATGATTTGTTATGAATATGTATTAACTATATTCATATTCAGTTAGAAGTTTCTAGGAGTGTTGCACACAGCACGCAAGTAGCTGCACATGTCACACTGTGCTGCTGCATGCAGCACACTGATCCAGGCTGTTACAACTTGTTTATCAAAGCACCCAATCAGGGACCCTTGTTTTCCTGTACAGGGTCCAATGATTTTAAAGATAAAGTTCATGAATATTTATGAGAAGGGTGCTTTGAAGACCTGGCTAACAGTTGTCTGTGTTCGTTCGCGCCACTTTTGTCCCTGCTTGTCTCCTGTCTATGTCAGTCTATAGTTAGTTAGGGTTAGCTAGATTTTGTCATCGAGTGTGTCCGTTAGGATTAGTGCGTAGGTTCACCGCACCAGTAGCCGGGTACTTGTTCGTGATGGGAGCGTTGAGTCTAGCTAGTCAGGTTTTGTTTCCAGGTGTTAGGGATAGGTAGCTGTCTATCATCGGTTCCTGCTAAAGAGCAGAAGCCACCTGAAGATCAGCGATTCTTCTCCAGTGATTCCTGCGCCTAGGAGCGAAAGGCCCCAGACGAGGATCATCACCACCTGCATGCACCACACCCGTCCCCAGGGTCTCCGAGGGATCGCCTCTCTGTTCCTCAATAAGGGCTCGGAAGGAGCCTAAGGCTTGAGGTCGAGAGCACCGCAGAGGGTCACTGCTGTGAGGGATCTCCTCCTTGTCTTTCACCAGAGGCTTTTAATTAGCCAAAGGCTTGAGAGATAGGAGCTTCTCACCCACTGTCAATTATTGTATTTTGTGTAACCGAGTTTTTTGGGGTACTTTTCTATCTTCTTTCCTTCTTGGGGTTGGGATAAAAAGTGTTTACCTGCTTTTCCTTGTGCTTTTAAAACTTTTACAATATATGGTTTGGCCCCTTTAAAGTGAGCAACGTTTTCATTTACTGCGGCATTCTTGGGAGAGCAAACACCTATGATAGATGAGGTTTGGTGGTATCTGCAACTTCCACTGAGGCTTTAATTGACTTAATCAGATGCAAATTTAGGCCTTAGTTATCCTCAGTGTAACAGTTCCTGGTGCCAGTTCCACAGTCTGGCCTCCGGCACCTCTCCTGGGGCCTTGCTGGAAGGCGGCGTCTCCTGTCCGAGATTCACCGTCCACCTTCCACGGACTCCCAGCCATGCCCCTTCCCTGGCGCTGGCAGGCCCTTTTGAATTGGCTCACCAGACGCGATGCTGATCGGTGGCCCCGCCCACTCCGTCATGCGGGGCTTCCCCACGTCACTTCCGGGCAGCCGCCCGCAGCCTCCGCTCAGTCTGGCAGTATGCTGGGGACAGAGCTCGTGTTGTTGGTGCTGCCCTGGCTGGGTGAAGGCTCTTCGCCGCGCCTTGGCATGGCGGCCGCATCTGGCCCCTCGGGCTCACCGCCCCCTGCGCGGCCCACCGCGACCCCCCCTTCTGGCCAGCCATCAGCAGCCTGTCACACTGACCTTGAACAACTTTTCCTCAGATCTTGCCCCCTCACACTCTTATTCTACTTATGCTACATCGATGACATCATCATCATATGTACCCACGGGAAAGAGACCCTTGAAGAATTTCACAGGGATTTCAACAACTTCCATCCCACCATCAACCTCAGCCTGGATCAGTCCAAACAAGAAATCCACTTCCTTGACACTACAGTACAATTAAATGATGGACAAATTTCCACCACCTTGTACTGGAAACCTACTGACTGCTACACTTACCTTCATGCCTCTAGCTTCCATCCCAGACACATTTCTCAATCTATTGTTAATAGCCAAGCCCTAAGATACAACCAGATTTGCTACAATCCCACGGACAGAGACAAACACCTATAAATCCTCTGTACAGGATCTATACAGAACATTCTTCAAACTGAAATACCAGCCCAGAGAAGTGAAAAAAATAGATCAACAGAGCCAAAAAAGTACCCAGACATGAACTACTTCAAGACAG